GATAAAATAAACTTAAAATATACTTACATACAACTAATATAATTTTTTTGTTGTTGTTACTTGCTCTCTGATGGGAGGCCAGTTTAAGAGATATTTCTGTAACTGTAGTTTATAAATGTCCAACTAGCATGACTTTAAAAAGTATTTTGAAAGGGAATGGTCGGAGACTTTGGGATCTTTTGGACAAAGGGGGTAGTTAAGTAGTAGTTCAGTATTATTAGTAATAAAGTATCTTCACTCCATTAATTTCTTTAGGTTGGGACATATTTCCTTGAAAGTACATTTCCTTGAAAATTTAAGAAACTCTCAATAAAAACCATTTAACTAGAGGAAAACTTGCCTGTATATCCAGGTATCTATTAGTAAATAGAATATGTTTTATTTTTAAGAAATTTGTTATAAAAAGAGCAAACGGCTTCTTCATAGAGTCCTCTAGATTTTACCACCTTAAAATCATTTGTTCCAGTTCAACTGAGTGCACCCTGTCTTTTTAGTCTTGTAGACAATTAGTCATCATTTATTCTGTAGTCATAAATAATCCTCATTTAGTATCTATTGTGATAGCTACCAAACCTTCACTTTTTTTTTTTCAAAGATTTATTCATTTTTATACAAGAACCGGGGTTTTGCTTGACTGAGGATTGTCCTTCACTAAATGAAATTCATTCTTAAGAGATCCTTTTTCTTGCTGCTGGGTGTTTGTTTTCCCCACTTGGACATAGCCTCTGTTTCAGAATTCTCTTTCCAAGCTTCCAGGAACTTGTGGATCTTAAATGACGTTTATGTAATCATTCAAATTAATGAAATCTTCAATGAAATAAATGATCTTCTATTAAGTGTTTTCAGTGTGACTAGCAGCATGCTGTTATTTAAATTATCCATTTTCAGCCTCATAACAAACTTACCAGATAGAAGTTATTATTTATTTTTTTAATGAAGAAAGTAAGCTCACTGCCATAAGTAATCCACTATTAAATAGCAAAGCCAAACTTTGAACTCTGGTGTGGCTGAACTCTAGCAATTAGTGATTATTCAGAAATTGATTAAAAATTGATGCTTTATTAATTTTTGGGCTTATTAGATTGTTTTCAGAATATTTTATTTGGCTCAGGAAATCAGAGAAATTCTAATTTTTCATCTTCAAAGATGAGAGTGAGGCTACATTTTGGCCACTTATGATATATTCTTATGATTACTTGTTAATTTTATTAAGGGGGGTTGGATACTTGAGATAAAGGATTGGTTTCAGCCATGTTTCCTAAAGTTTTACTTTGATAATTATGCATGATAATACCAGGTTTGAGCATATAGAGGAGAATAATTTAATTGGTTATTTTTGTTTAAAAAGTCAAATCGTCAATACAAGGATTTCCCCCTCTCCTTTACTTTGTAGTTTTACACTTATCTTTACATATTAAAGCTCTTTGACCTTAACAGCTGCTTTCCTTTTGCTTAATATGAAGTGATTCTAAGTGCCCTTTATGAAGGCAGGGAGCCCAGCAGAGAGCTCCTTTTCTGTCCATATGATCCTTGCAATTCACTGTGTCATAGCAGTGGTTAAGTAATGCTGTGAGGTCAGGAAGCCAGGTCAGGACAGCTGGTAATTAAGTCAACTTACTTCTCTTCGGCACTGGAAATATAAAGCCCAACTCAAACAACAAGGCCATCTGTTTCATGCTTCATTGCCTTAGATGTTCATGCTTGATTGTATTGCATTGATTTTTGGTTAGGTTGTGCCCTAGTAATATAGCTGGTAAGGCTAGTGTCTTAATACTCAAAGAAACTGAAGTTTTTTCAAAGTTTTGATCTAGTTTTGTCAGTTTTCTGGGAATTATTAAGAATAGTATTATGATAGGCTTTATAATTCAGAAGCCCCCCTTTTTTTCTAAAATTTCCAATTTGAACAAATATTTGGTTATTATTAGCAGAAGCTTAATTGTAGGTGGTTCAGGTTTTGCATACACAGAATCTTTGGTGGGTTTTGTAAGAATAGACTAAACGGTATGTGGTTAACAACAAACTATGTAGCCTGCCTACATTTTTACACTCTAGATCCCCCTCACCCTTTTTAATTACCCAGCTTTTGAAGTATGTACACTCTTGATCTAATGTTTGAAGTGCCAGTCTTGTGGTCTTTCATCCTCAGTCATTTAATCAAGGAGGTGTTGGTGAATTTAGATTATTCTGCCCTAAAATAGCTTTATCTCTGGGTCCTAAGTGTCATCATACTTTCCTAAATTATCTTGTGTGTTATTTTGAAAAATGAAAGGACATGTATGGTAATCATCCTGTTCATTAAAAAGGGGGAAAAGATGGTTCTTCTTTGCAGTGGCATTACTTCTAGAAATGGTTGGAGTTCATGAATAACTGAGAAGTTAAAGATTCTGTGTAGAGTTCCTGTGTGAATTGGTTACATGTGCTACTGGGGCCAATGCACATTGCTTTAGGGGATGATGAGCCAAGAGGTAAGGGAGTGAGATCAGCACAAGGGCTGCCATGTGTGATTATGAAAACCTTGAAGTGCTGGTAGGACCACTGGGTGTTGTTGGCACATGACCAAGAAGAACCCAGGCACCCCAGACTGATAAGAAACCCTCGGAAAGGGATTCAGCTATCCACATGCAAACAGACAAAGGACACAGACTGTTAGAGTAAAAGATTTTTAATAGAATTAGCATGCACAGAGAGGGAAGAAAAGAAAGGATATTCCCCCAAAACTGAAAATTACCAATCCCCTTGTGGGCAAATACCCAGTCAGACAGGCTCAGCCTGAAGCAGGACAACTGAGGTCTACAGGCTTATGACATATCTAAGGTGCATGCTGTTGGGGAACCACAGGAATGGGATTAGGCAATTCTCAGAGAGTTGAGAAAGGAGAGACTCGAAATTCAAAATATGCCACATAATCCAACATGAAGTCAAGATAAGGTCTGCCACTGTTTCTGTGAAGGGCCAGAAACTTCTTCCCCACATCTCTCTCAACCAGTTGTCTTTTCCAGATACCTCTTCCAGTTTTTTTACATGTCTCCCCTTCACATGTATCCTTCAAGTCTTCTTTCCAGCAGTACCAGGGTGCAGATCAGGCCACAGAAGCAAGAAAGGGTACCACCTACTTTCCATATTATATGGGCCCACCTGACCACTCAGCTCTGCCCCTAGTTTCTAGTAGCTTCCATACTCTTGAATTCCAATTCATGGCATACTGGGACTTGTCGTGCAAGGTGGCTTCTTCTAAGGTGGGTGAGGAAAATGGCACCTCCTCTTTACACAGGTGTATTTGTAACAGTGTGGATTGCATGTCTGGAAAAATGTGTGCCCTTTTCTATTTTGAAAAAGGCACCATGAACACCAGCAATGGCACTGATAATGCCTATTTAGAATATGTCACTTTCAGGGTTTTAGTAATAATCTATTGATAATTGGATATGAACTTCTAAAATTCCTATAATATTTATTAATGTTCTTTTTTTAAAGTTATTAAATTTCTATTGTACTGTGACATGCTACTCATTATTTTAAAAAGACAGCATGGACTATTTGTTCATCTACAGCTACTATACCACCAGTAGCAGTAGAAAAAGCAAAGCTTTGTTATTTAGGGGAGACTCCAATTAGAACCAACATCTCACTGGTCAGCCCAGAGTAGATTTGACTGGTCTCTGTTGAAAGTGTTTCAAATAAACAAGTTTTCTTTTTGGCATTGGTGGCAGGCATATGGAATGCAGAATCTGGCAAAAGCTGTGTCAGACAGGGTCCTTAAATAACAGTTAATGTCTAGTTTCATTGTCATGACTTAGGAAATACCTTCCAATTGGAAAATAAAAATTACCCTCCTGCCAAGGGACAAACATCATCACTTAGTCTCCCCAAAGAAAAGGCAGTACTTAATTGCTTTGCTAAGCAAGTGGCTTTTGGATCTCAATTATATTAATCATTTAACTCGTGAATGAAGAAAATACAGATGATGTTTAGCTGTTGTACTTTGAATATATTAACAATTGAGAAAGTTATTCAGGGAATGTAAATGTATTCTATAGCTCTGCTATATAGAAAAATCTAATGACTTTCCAAAGTGTTAAGTAGCTCTATTTTCTTTGTGAATATGAGTGTTGATAGAAACAAGCTGTTGGGAGGTGGAATTTAGCCAGTACTCACTTGGTTTCTAAAGATGTTTTGTGTCAGTTTGTGGATTGGAGTTTATACAAGTTATTAACTCTTATTTTATAGGACAACAATTAGTTATGAAAGTAATTCTTTAGCCACTTTTGTAATTGGTTGGTTCCTTTGGGCTAATGTGACTATTATACCAATAAACTTAGTCCAGAAACTGAGACCAAAGTGAAGAGTTTATTAGCATTTGTTGAATATAAAGGGTTTTGACTTATTTAAGATAGAGTACCTGAGAAAAGGAATTCTTTCATATATTTTTAAATTATTTATTGATTTTTGTCCTTCACAAAAGCATAATAAATACTAATGGTTAATATATGCATGTTGGAAGCAGATATTGAAGGGGTCGGGAAGAAAGCTGTATCTCCTTTTGCCTAGTGAATTCCTGAAGGGAAAGAAGTTGAAAATAAAGATAAAAGAACAGAAAGCCTTTTAGAATTTGTTTTACTCAACCTTTGCTTTAAGGTTTTTGGTTTTTTTTAAAGATTTATTTTATTTATTTATGCATACAAGAGCTGGAGTGTAGGCCAGAGGTGTAGGGGGATAGGGGGTGCGAGAGGATTCACCAGAGACAGAGTGGGGAGCAGAACAGGCGGATTGATTGAAATACACTACTGAGGGGAGCAGCAGGTGAGACAGGAGAGGTCTGCTTCTCCATGTGTATTAGCTCTCTGGCCGGGGATCAGAAATTAAACTCGTGTTGCAGTGGCTGGCAATAGCTTGATAGTGCTTAGATGTAACCCCTTGCGCCACCAGGGATGCCCCCAAAAGAAAACTTTTTATCAAATTATTTGTGAATGTATTTTGTTTGTCCTTCTCTTCTGTAATAGGATTTCCGGGATGCAGTAGCCCATGCTTCCAGGCAGTTTGGGAAACCAGTGATTGAAGAACGGATTTTAAATCAGATTCTGTACTACTTGCCTCAGCTATATGAGCTCAACCGGGATCTCCTAAAGGAACTGGAGGAAAGAATGTTGAGCTGGTAAAAGTGAACTTCTCCACAGTTTCCAATTTTAGATGAAGTCATGAGAATTCTGCATTTACAGAGAGGGTTGTTCCTTACATTGTGTTGTTTCAGTACATTGAATTTCCTTGGCAGTTGCTTGTAGATCGATTATCTACAAAATTTATAACTTAGGTGCATTGAACTCAGTGCTATACATTTTTTTAAATGTAATTACAAATCATCTTCCTGTACATTTTTATAAAAATTATCTTAAACAGGGCCTCCCCTGGTGGCGCAGCGGTTGAGCGCTGGGCTGTGAAGCTGCCTGCGGCCTCTGCGGCGCCGGTTTGATCCCCGGCTGCTCCCCCGCCACCTGAGGGAGGGTCCCACATGGCGCGCAGACCTCTCCTGCCGCCCGCTGCTCCCCTCAGCGGTGTGCTTCGGTCCTTCTGCCTGCTCTGCTCCCCGCTCTGGCTCTGGTGAATTCTCTCACCCACCCGCGCTTCTGACTATACCCAGTGCTTGTATAAATAAATAAATAAAATAAAAAATTAAAAAAAAAAAAAATTATCTTAAACATTAATCTGACACTCTTTTAAATGTTACCACAAAAGTAAGAAGGGCTCACATTCAGTCAATTTAAATTTTATGATTAACTTTTGTCAAAGATAATCAATATTTTTGAAATTGAAGGAATTTAATTGATTGATCACATGGGGGGGAATGTTAAATGTTTTGTGTATCTTTTCTGGAGCTTTAAGTTGTGAAACTCCCTTTGCATGTTTGGTTTTTTAATCTTGTTTTTTTTAAATCCATTCACTGATAAAATAGGATCATTTACTTGGTTTTGAAAATTTACATACATATGACATCATTGCAGATACTATAAATTTCAGAACAGGAAAAGAATACTAAAAGATTAACTAGTCTCACCTTATCCAAGTTTCACTTTCTTTGGTTTCATTTCCCCTGGGTTAACTGGATCTGAAAATATTAAATGCATTAAGACTTTTTTGAAAGAATTAGAGCAGGAGAGAGAGCCCATATTCTTATAACTCTAATTGCAGCATAACAATTGCTATAATTTTTCTATTTTATTATTAGTTATTGTTGTTTATCTCTTAATGTGCCAAATTTATAAATTAAAATATCACAGTTTGTATATATAGGAAAAGCACATTATAGTAGGGTTTGTTTGTATCCATGGCATCAGGCATTCACTTGCAATGCATCCCCCATGAATAAGGGACCACTACTGTACTTTCACTGGACTGTTGAAAATAAGTAGAAACTTTGATGATATCTTTGTAATTTGTAGAAAGTTTAATCTGATGGATTGAATTTATTGTTGAAGTTCATGGGGAGCCAAAATGAATAGAATAACAAGTAGTTTCACCTACTTTCATCATTAAAATTTGCCTCTAAGCTTTCTTTATATATAATCCCCAAAATACCACTGCCAGTTTTGGAAATAGCGTGCCTCAGCCTGCTTGGGAAAATATACTAGATAAGTGTTTAATACTTAGCTACAGATTAAGTATAAAATCTCATAGAGTTAAGGACTGAGGGAAAACAAAAAGCTATTTTTAAAAATCATGATAGAAAAAAATATAATTACAAATCGTCTTCCTGTACATTTTTATAAATTTCCTTAAACATTAATCTGACTCACTTTTAGATGTGCATATTTATGCAAGTGTTATGAAGAGGCTTAAATGTATTTTGTGCTAAACATTTTCTTAGTTTAGCTCTATAGATGTTCATGTACCTAGACAGACTAAATTGATGAAAGGAATAACTAAAAGCCATTTGTTACTGGTATAAAATTCTTCTAATCTTTGGATAAGATATTTTCTACTTAGGAAAATAATTTTCTCTCAGGGGTCTTTGTGTCAAGACACATTTTTTGGTTTTAGTAGGCTTTCTGAACTAACATTGAGCTTTACATCAACTTTTAATAAAAACTGATGAAATACTTCATTTCCAAACTCACCAAGGTTTTGAATATCAACTGTGTGCTAGTCCATGCTCTAAGCATTCTGAGAATATCATTGCATAAAACATGCAGTATTCTTGCTCTCCTGGAGCCACATTTTATTTATTTATTTATTTATAAAGATTGATTGATTGATATATGCATACAAGAACTGGGGTATAGGCCAGAGTTATGGGGGGTGAGAGGATTCACCAGACACAGAGTGGGGAACAGAACAGGCAGATTGACTGAAGTACACTGCTGAGGGAGCAGTGGGAGAGACAGGAGAGGTATGCTGTGGGTAGCTCCCTGGCTGGGGATCGAATACATGCCGCAGTGGCTGCAGATAGCTTCATAGTGCTGCGTCTTAACCTCTTGTGCCACCAGGGAGGCCCTGGGCCTCATTTTAAAGTGGGGGGTTGGGGGTGGGGGGAGAATGAAACTATTAGGCAAGAAACATGTTATATAGAAGTAGTGTCTGATCTGACGTAAACAGAATGATGTGCTAGCAAGAATGGCCAAAAAAAGGCCCTCTAATAAGGTAGAGATTTTAAACTATCATTCTGGAATTATAGCAAGATTATAATTTGTCTATAACAGACTCTAGAATAATATATGAAGTCTTTTTTATTATTAAAAAAATGACATCTGAACGAAAAACAAGAGCTAGCCAGGGTTCCATATCTTCAGGCATGTGGAGTAAAAGTTTGCAAAGTAGAAATGAACTCTGTATGTCAGAGACTATAAAGAAGACCATTGTTGTTGGCAAGTAACAAGAGAAAGAAGTATGAGAAAGATTGGCAGTGGCAGGACCTCTACGACTTTGTAAGCCCCAGTAAGGAGAAAGTCATATGATATACATTTTTAGGCTCTGGCTGCACATAAGAATGAGACTAGGGGACAGAGTGGAAGCAGGAAGACCAGTCACAGGTTTGGCAGAGTCCAGGCAAGTCCTGATGGTGGCCATGAAGTTGCTGAGATTTGGGGATCTTTCTTACAAGAAGGAAAAAAAGATAAGCTGATTCCTTGAATGTAAGACCCGGCTGATCATGGGTATGTTTGATATATTCATGACTCTCTCTTTATGTTTTTGTGTTTCTCTATCCCTAGGACTGAACAGCAAAGAATTGCTGATATCTTTGTAAAGAAGGGACCATATCTAAAGATGTATTCCACATATATCAAAGAATTTGATAAGAATATCGCTTTGCTGGATGAACAATGCAAGAAAAACCCAGGTTTTGCTGCTGTAGTCAGAGAATTTGAGGTATTTTTGCTACCATCTAATGTTGAACATTTTTCTTTTATTTTTAAAGCTTTAATAATTTTTAGTCATTGAAAACAGAGTTTGAGGACAAAAAGTTATTTACAATGTAATCCCTGCAAAATTAAAGAGGGAATTGAACAGATTAAATGGTGAGAACTCAAATAGTGTGAACAAGATTTAATTTTGAAATGTATTATTGCACATTGGAATATTTTTATTGTAGCAAAATACTCATAAGATAAAAATTGCCTTAGACATTTTTAAGTGCATAGTTCAGTAGTGTTAACGTACATTCACATTGTTGTGTAATCAATCTCCGTAACTCTTATCTTGAAAAACTGAAACTCCCCCTTAAATCCTAACTCCCTATTCTTCCCATGTCACTGGCAGCAGCCTTTCTATTTTCTGTTTCTATACATCTTACTTTTTAACTAAGGAATACATCTTACTTTTTAACTCAACTTTCTTTATTCTGTCAACAACTAAACTACAACAATGCGTGAGAAATATGATGTTTTCCCTTTAGATAAATAAGTAGCAGTTTTAGTGTCCAAGTTAAGAAAAATTACTAACATGTATACAGCCATAGCTTTGGGTTTTGATTCAAAGAAAAACCCGATTTAATTGCGGATAAAATGTTAGCTTCGAAACTAAAAATGTAAGTGAATTTCTGTCACATGGTGTTAGAAAAATTTTAGGCATATTAAGCTAATGCTGATTTCTAATTTGTATAGTCGACAAACTGAAGATCATTTGTAATCTTTTTCCCCCTTTTCTCTCATATCTTCATGTTGTTAAGAAAGGAAGTGTAATATAAATAGCTATGGCAGCTGATAATTGACCCTGGTTTTCATGTGTTCAGTGAGTTGTTCTGTTGCCTTAGCAGCAAAAGATAATAAAACAGGAAAGCTAGTTGTCTTGGTTAAAGGATGCTTGATGTCAGATATCTTCTTAATATGCATTATTATTATAATTTTGTAATTATTCTATTTCCCTGACCCTGGAGGTATATCTTTAGAAAAATATAAAGCAGTTTGAGCAAAGATGAGAAAACATCCCCTCCCACCTGAGGCATGTAAGAAGCACAGGACATCTTAGGATACAAGGACATTTTCACTAGGTGTTTAGTACCACCTCACAGTAAATTCCTATGTTGGAGAATGGGGGTGAGGATCAGGACTGGGCAAAAGTGTCTTTTGTACTTATAGGGAAAAAAACTTTAAAGACAGTGAAATGTCATTGTGGTCAAGTCAAAATTGTTCCCAAATGAAGTGTTGCCATTTACACTGTGGTTTACTAAGTGGGGTGGGCTCTAATTGAACTGGATGGCACCCACCCACTGCTGTCTGTGGAAGGGCTGTGACCAAGCTTTCCCAATGAGTCAGTAATTTCAGAGACCCACCTACAGGAGAGAGGGCACTAGGTGGTTTCATTCACAGCATGGCAATTGCCCCTTAAAATAAAGGAAGCCTGTCACTGAATCTTTCCAGAGTAGCTGATTATTTGAAGTTTGGCTTCCTGAGCACTTGCTCCTTAGAAAATCCTGTGTTTATATAGGATGCCTTTTCCTTTCAGATGAGCCCACGCTGTGCTAATCTGGCCCTCAAGCACTACCTGCTCAAGCCGGTTCAGAGGATCCCCCAGTACAGGCTGCTGTTAACAGGTGGGCTTCTCCAGGCTTTAACCAACCAACCACTTGGTTTACCTCCCAACTGACTCATGTTGCTTCAGTGAAATTCTACCTTTCCTAAGAATACCTCTCTCTTTACAACATGCCTGTGACCACCCCTAATCCATGGATTTATAGGTTGCTTATAAGTTCACATTAACATCTATTGTCTAAACTGAACTTCACTCAGTCCTTTGATTAGCCCTGTGTGCAGTAGTGATTCTGGGCATTCATGCATGTAAATCCTTTTGCTCAGAACATCTTTAACTATCCCAACCCCAATTGTTTTTCCTGGATAATATTCTTCATCCCAAGAAGATTCTTTCCCAGCCACTCAGGCATGAGGTGGAGAGGATCACTCCCACATTTTTGTATCGCAGCTATCATGGGACCAGCCAGTTATTTCAGAGAGTTGTTATCAGGATTGATTAACGGACTATGTGCTTAGAGTAGTGCTTTGGTCGTAGTCGGTTATAAATATGTATTATTTGCTACTAGTAGTAGTAGCAGCAGTATCCTCATCACTGTCATGTTGTCATGGCCATTGTCTTTATTTTCTACTAGACTGTAAGCTTCAAGATCACAAGGCTGTCTAGTTTACCACCATTAAAGTTTAAAAAAAAAGGGGGACAGGAAGAGAAAAGAAAGGGAAACAGAAACCAGCTATTATTTGAGCGAAGCTATAACCTATACTCAGGGCTATATATTCATTGACTCTAAATTTTTATCATAGCCATGCATATATGTATCATAATATTATTTAACAGCTGGGATAACAGGCTTATAGAGATTAAGTGGTTTGGCATTAAGCTAATACAGTTTTAGCACAAAGAGTACTATCCAACACATACTACTGCGTTCTCTGGAGTATTTGCTGAAATGCATTGGATGTGCAGTGGCTAAATATACACACATATTACATGCACTAGGAATTGTGTGAGAATGGACAAGAATGTCAATGCTACCACAACTCTAAATTAAGTCTGTTATTATTTCATTTAAATTGATTTTGCGGTATTTGTTTCCTCTTAAAAGAATGCTTGTATACTTTTATCCTTAATCATTTTCTCTTAAGCCAAGAACTATATAGAGTATAGTAGGTAAACTCTAAGAGGCTAGGATTTCCAAATTTCCCTTTAGGCAGAGACTTCAGGCTTTCCAAGCTTGCCTACTGAAGATAGACTGCTGATGGGAAAGGTCTTCCTTTCAGTCCTAAGAGCCGGTTACCCTAGGAGTTTCAAGACTTAATTTGAATTTCTAACTGTGAATCAGGCACTCAATTTCTGTCTGGAATGACATAAGGTAAACTAAATAATTCGAGGATATCCTGTCCATCTGTACTTTCTTTCCTCTGCTTTTGGCAGAGATTTAGAATACACAGGACAAAAGGAAGTACCATGTATGTGTTGTGTTTTTGCAAGATAAATTCAATGCTGTATCAGAAATGAACTATTGCATGGCTTTGGCTATTTCCACAGCTGTCAAATGAGGTACTGTTTTTAGTGGCAAAAGACAACTGTGGCTTTAATTGCAAGAAAGAAGGCACAAAATATTTTTTACCCACACTATGGGTGAACTATTTAAAAGTTACGTGTGTTTAATTTTAATTGAAAAGTTAAATTCAGTTTTTCATTTAGAAATGGTGAAATAGGGCCTCCCCTGGTGGCGCAGCAGTTGAGTGCTGGGCTGCGAAGCTACCCATAGCCTCTGTAGCGCTGTTTCGATCCCCGGCCAGGCCACCGGCGAGGGTCCCACATGGCGTGACAGACCTCTCCGGCCGCGCCCGCTGCTCCCCTCAGCAGTGTATTTCATCAGTCTGCCTGTTCTCTTCCCCGCTCTGGCTCTGGTGAATTCTCTCACCCACCTGCGCTTCTGACTGTACCCAATACTTATATAAATAAATAAATCTTAAAAAAAAAAAAAAGTGAAATAATAAATGCAAATTACAACAATTTTCTTTAAGAGGATAGCTTTGATTTGTTTTATAATATCAACATAATGTGATCTTGTGGTTATTTTCAGTTTTGAACTGCTTCTTATTTAATCTAAAGCCATTTACCCCTTTTCTGAATTGGAAAATCTTCACCATCGTTAAGTGATATACAAGACCATCCACATAGTAAACAGTAATTTATATTCTTCATCCTTTGGCATTTCTTCCATTGATTTAAATTTTTTCTTCCCTTCAAACCTGACCAGAAGTCCTCCATTTCCCTAGAACACTCTAATTCTTGAACACTTATTATCAGTGGCATGTGACTCAGTTACCAAGTAATATTTATTTGATGCCATCTGAATACGCTAGTACTTATGCAATTTCAATATTGATTCCTTAATTTTTTTACAAACCCCATGTGTGCCTAAAATTTCTGGTCAGTTTTGGGTACCTTGAAGCCTGTTCAGGAAATATTTATGGTTGTCTTTTAGTGAGGCTTAAAATACTCCCTCAGCCAAAATATCTTTAGCCTAAAGACAACATTGAAAGAGAATTTTAGAGATGAAGTCTTCCCTAAAGTAGAGGACACACCCAGAGAGATGAAATGTCTTGCCTGAGGCTACATGATCGTATTAGTTGAAGCACACATGGTTATATGCTAAGGACAAATGGGGGTTGATACCAAGAGGTTTTATATTTTTATTTTAAAGCCTTATTTCTCAGTAAACATTTTTGTGACATTTAGATTACTCCCTACTTTGCAAGGTATTTCTGTTATTGCTATCAAGTTACTCCTGTCCATGCACTTAGATTTTTTGAAGTTAGACTTTGTCTTAAATTGCATTTTTTCAAACTTATGTTGATTAGCTGGGTCCCAATCTTTGGACTAGAGAAGCTCAATAGTTTAATCCTCTCCATAACCTTGTGAGATAAATACTTTTATTTTCATTTTAAAATTTGGGGTAATTCCTAATGCACAGAAAATACAGGAGCAGAGCGACTCTATGAAGCAACTCTTAACAACTTTGATTTATTAATGTATTTCAGACAGAGAGGGGGATGGATTCTTGTCTGACTCAGTATAAGTAGATCTGCACACGCCTAGGAGGAGGTTTCTTGGAGGAGAAGATTGAGAAATGCAGAGATGAAATAAAGATAAGATAGCATAGTTTATAGTTTATTTTGGAATTCCTTTAAAGAAAGGTGAGTAGAAATTCCCAGATACAGCAGTCCTGCCCCTACTATTCAAACAACCATCTTCCTGACTGGCAGTGTATTATTCAGGTCAGAATTAGGATTTCTAATGGGTTTACTGCTTAGTCTATCTCTTCCTTCATTGTAGTAAAAAAAATTTAAGTTAAATTTTTGGTAGTATTTTCTTAAATTCTGCTCAAAGAAAGTATCTTATAAAATAATGAAATGTTTATGATTTTACAATTAGAATCATGACATTAAAATTATTAAACAAAGTGAGTAATATACTTAAGGAGGAAAACTTACAGATTTTCCCTTTGTTTTAACTAGTCACCATCAATAGATCTAGCTAGATGTTTAAATCCATAAGGGGGGCCTCCCTGGTGGCGCAGCAGTTGAGTGCTGGGCTGCAAAGCTGCCCGTAGCCTCCGCAATGCCGGTTCGATCCCCAGCCACGGGCGAGGGTCCCACATGGCATACAGACCTCTCCTGCCATGCCCGCTGCTCCCCTCAGCAGTGTACTTTGTCCTTCTGCCTGTTCTGCTCCCCGTTCTGGCTCTGGTGAATTCTCTCACCCTCCCACGCTTCTGACTGTACCTAGTGCTTGTCTAAATAAATAAATAAGTCTTTAAAAATAAATAAATAAATCTATAAGGGACCCAGAACCTATTTGGAGTTAGGAGAAATGGAAATCTTAAGGCTGCAGTGAGGAAACAGTAAGAGAAAACAGAAACACTGCTATAGGAACAACATTAACTTTTTACCACTTCATAGTTCCTTCCTCCTCATCTCTTCCAGGTAGAGACAGTTTTTATTATTCTAACTCAATGTCTGCCATTGATTCGGGCACAAAACAGAGCTCAGTAAACTGAAAGGCTTAAGCAAAGGGAGCATTGCTCCTTTTTATGAGGTTAAGAATCCATACGTCGTGATGCTTATAATGTCCGATAGATAAATGGATCAATAAATTACCTTTAAGAGTAAAAACACTCTTGTCACCCAAGCACAAAGTTATGGAAAGGACTCTGAAATACTTCCCTTTCCTCCTCATAGGATCTGTTGACCCATTTTCCTCTGCTACCTGTTCTTTCCATTTCCCTTGTACTCCAGGCCTTTCTAAACTCTGGCCAAATTGTGGAATATCTTCCTGCTCCATGCTTTGTCTTACTGCTCCCTTGTGTAGGTGGCCCATCATTGCTTGATTTCTCTTCCAAGAACACCCTAAAGGAAAAACACACAGCTAAATACACTTCTCCTGTGTGTCCTCTCTATTCTCACATTACCATAACATTTACAACACTTCTGATACCAGATATGTGGGCTCCGCTCCCAACGCCAGGCTCTCTGCAACATCAGCAATTATATACAACATATAAGGTGTCCTGTAATTCAGTCCAAACCTGATACTATCCACCTGGAGATAGTGCCACATCCCACAGAGTTCAATCCTGCAAAACTGGCCCACTGCCCGCCACTGTCATTTGCCAATTGTGAATTTCAGTTTGGCACCTATCCTGACAAATCACCAATAAATCAAAGTTCCACAACCCCTTTCTTTCATTCAATTCATTTGCTAGAGCCACCTGAAGAACTCAGGAAATTAGTTTACTTACTTACTGTATGGTAAAAGGGTATCTATAATAAGTGACATAGAGGACCATCCAGATGGAAGTGGTGTGTTGGCTAGGGCACATGGGAAGGGGTGCAGGATGTCTGTGCTGGCTCCAAGCACACGGCTCTCCCAGAATCTCCATGTGTTTAGCAACCAGACATTCTCCAGACCTCACACTCATGGAATTTTCAAGGCAGCTTCATAGGTAAGTAGGATCAATCACTTAACTCAACTGCTAGCTCCTTTCCCCTT